AATATTAAACTTAACCTGTCAAATATACTTACGTATAGAATTTCAATCTGTGAATTATTTACGTAAAGCAATGCAAACATTCTTACAAAATTTCTCACAACAAATTTGTGACATTTTGAGATTTTTTGTTGACACTGTTGTGACAATTTTTACACGCACACAACACATACAATATAACGCGATGTACATATACGAAATATATAGGTGTTTGCCGGAAGTGTCGGTCATTTGTTAATGCGGATAATGATAATTGGTCGCATCAACCCCACTATCTAAGTTAGCGATCTAAGTAATTTGTGATAAATCATCGTCGATTCTCTTGATTTGTCTCGATGATCTTATTTGATTATCAAGACAAATCGATAATTAAGTAATTTGTTGTCGCTTTCCCGTGATTGGTTTTCGACTGTTTGTGCGTCGCGAATTTGACAGTTCGCAATTATGCGATTACGTTTTGTTTACGGTTCGCGAGTGAGATAATTTAAAAAAAAAGAAAAACATGCGAAAACGCGCATGTGTCACAATATCGATGGCGCGAGAGCATTTATTTTTGTGTTCTGTGGTTCGATAAAATTTCAATACCGATCAAATAAAAACAAATCGAGCACGCGTCGAGCTTTCCCATTTCCCGGTCGTGCGTTTACCTCGAAGAGTTAAGATGCGAAGACGAGTTTCTTCCGTTACGGAACAGCTGTTATTCTATTGACACGTTCATCCGACTAGCTCTGAGAGGAGTTGAAAACTGTCCCTAAATTTTCTACGCAGAATATTGACAGAAAAAAATAAAAAAAAATAAATAAATAAAAATATCGGTCCCTTCCCGTCACTGTGTTCCTGACATATTCGAAGCCCGTAAGAATCACGAGAGAAAGAAAGAGATAAACCCGGAGAGCGTTTCCTCCTTGTTAATTACGGTAAGCTGCCGCGCGCGCGGTAAACATTTTCCAGCAGACCGGTCGAGAGATATATATCCCCACCGGAGATACTAAAAATAGTAATCCCTGCCAATATCTCTCTCTTTTTCTCTCACCCAGTTGTGGATAATTGTCGGCTCATTATATCAAACGCGACGCTGTTATTTTCCGATAGACGCAGCGAAAATACTTAGAGCGTCATCGTCGGCGTTCGGTTTTATCATCGTCGTTCGCCATAATGACGACGAGATTGTAAGCGCGCTTTTATTCCGAGAGATTTCACGAGGTTTTATATATATATACGGGTGGCTTATAAGAGCGAGAATTGACTCGTCGCCAACACCGACGGGGGCGGGAGGGGACAAGCGTAACAGATACAGCGGTATTGAATTATTACTCGCGCGCGAAAAACGCGGTCGTGTAAAAAACGCAATTGTGTTATTCCGTCGTTGGATTGTTATCAAATGCGCTCGGCAAAAATGTTATTTCACAATTAAACACCGAACAAAAATTCGCACGTCACTTGTTATTCGTGCGTATCTCAACCGCCAATATGCAATATTTTATATTTAAATCTTCGCGAATACCGTTTAATGATTCCGAATTTATTTCCCGTCAGATATTCCGCATTTTCAATTCTTCGTCGTAATCGCGCGATTTGACAGGGAAAAATGTGATGTGAATTTTCGAATATAAATCCACCGGAAACGAATTCACTGGACTCCGGTTAAAAAATCCACATAATCTGCGTCGGGAGCAATGCGACTGGCTAAACGACGATTCCTTTATGTGTGACCTCTTTCCGAATAACATTTTGGCGAACTTAAAATCGCGTCCATACAATTTAAAGTGCGATTTTTATCAAATTCTCTGATCGTGAATTTCACAACGGCGACTCGCCGACGCGGAAACGGCGCAAAATGTCGAAGTTTGCTTTCGTAGCCGAGAAGTCGAGACAAATTTTAATATCGATAGTTAAACCAGAATCTGTGCGCGCGAGGGAGAAACGCGCGGCTAAAAGTTGCTAAACTCGATCACGGGATTCTTCTCTCGCGCACAGATTGCGTCGCACAATTTATAATTCCTCCCCGCAGATATTTCTGCGTCGTTTGACGCGATTCTCGTTTTTTTTTCGAAAATCCGGGTCGTCGCTTTTGGTAATGGAGTTACAAATAAGTGCGAGAGCACATCGGCCGAGGGGCGAGGCACACTTTCATTTCGTATTCCGCGCAGGGACGATAATGGTGGATCAACGGGCGGCTTCCGTACGTATTCTAATAAAGACTACCACGATCGGGAAACTTCGGAGTCGACCTTGGAACGGTTATATATTTTCAATATAACGCCGCCGTCCGAACGCGAAAAAAAAAAGAGAATTTCTCTTTCGTTCTGTGCGAATGAGTTTTCTCAATTTTCCCGGGTATTTGATTTAGTCGGCGTTGATTTAGCTTATTCGTCTTTCTCATCCGCGCCAGCTATATTGCATCCGCCAGAATTGCTTGTGGAAATTGAAGCTAAGTATCTTCGGGGCGTTTGCCACGCTCATTAATGTGTAATGACAAAAGTTTAGCGAAATTTACGTTGCTCTCCCGCAGACAGCCTCCTTTTCTCGAGTTACGAGAGATCTCTTGCGCATCGGCGTAATCTTGAATTTAAATTCGCGTATGCAATTTTGTCTCAGTTTTATCCGTCGAAACTTTCGGCGGAAGATACGGAACGCAAAAACCATCGCGCGGAAAATGAAAGAGGATGTTTTTCACGCGCGTGAATTCTCTTCTGCTTTAAACGAGAGAGAGAGAGAGAGAGAGAGAGAGAGAGAGAGAGAGAGAGAGAGAGCGATAGAGGAAGAGAAAAAAATATTTAACAGCAATCTTCGCGAGCACCGCGTACACTTCTGTAAATATGTACACTACTTTCTTGATAATATTGCTCACGGGTCTTAGGGGAATATTCCGAGAACCATGATAAATTCTCTCTTCCCGAGGACCTCCGCCCCCTTGTCCTTTCCCGTCCGACACTTGTTTCAGCAATCTCGAGAGCTGTAGCGGGCGAGATACGGGCACGTAATTCGATGCCGTTCGTTTTTATCGCGGTTTTGTAAAACATACAGTTTTGTTTTTCTTCACTTGTGTGGGCGAGCAAAAATTTCTGGCATTTCGCGACACTTTTGTTTTTTTGTTCTTTTTTTTTTTTTTTTTTTTTTTTATTTAACGGATTGGTCGCGCACAAAACTTTCGCCATTTCACCAATACGCCGCCACTTTCGCGTCCGATGCATTCCACGCTTTCTCGCAATTTAGTGCGTCCCGTTGGAGACAACAGAGGAACGAATTATCCTAACGCGGC